TGCTAATAGCAGGTTAGCGAGGAGTGCTGGAATGTGGGCGGCGCCATCCCTGCCTCTGATTGAATGTTATTGATCAGCTTTAGTGTTGTGTAATCTCTCCCATCAATGACAACTTCAACATGAGCACAATCTCTGCAGCTCGATAATAATAATGTGATTTTTCTTTACACATGCATTTGAGAAAAAAATTACAAATAAATAGAGAATAACCAGTAAATAGAGATTCCCGGGTGGAATACTGAAACAATGCAGCTGTGAATGTTCTTGGATTTATGGTTCTGTGTATTTAGATCGATAAGTATAACAGTTTACAGAAAGTTTAGGTGTTTTAAAGCGAGATAATAGCCCTGTTGTTATATTTTTTTATGGATTTTATAAGATGTAGAACAGGAGTCTTCTAACATGTACCCATGAAGAGGTACCTTTTGGGTCTAAAAACGCTGAAAGCTGCTCCTTTAAGTGGTACATTATGTAAGGTTGTATAACGGTGGCCTTGGAACAGTTTATGTCAGGGGTGTCCAAACTTTATAGTAAAAGGGCCACTTTAGTTCACGAGACGAGTCCAGGGCCCGACATCACGGACTGAAAAACTGTCTTGACCGACGTCGGGCTGTTCTGAGCTTTAAAATGATCAATACCAGAGCTGAAGTTGGCTGAATGACACATGTTTACCATCTCACCAGCTTCAGTATCATCATTAACGTCTATACTGTCTGAGCTGAAGTTGGATGGATGACACAGTGAACTTGTGTGTATGATCTCAGAGACTACTGTGGGTTAGCGAGGCAGAGGGCCACCCAAACTGACGCAGAGGGCCGCAATTAGCCCCCGAGCCTGAGTTTGGACATGCCTGGTTTATGTGGTGTTCGGTCTGTAAGTTAAAGTCCAATGTTTGCAGCAGTTGGAGAAACATAACTTTTTATAGCTTCAGGGTGATTTTTAAAACCTATTCTTTTTAATTATAGAGATGCCGCAAAAAGGTAGATTTTAGTTCCAAGCTCAAAACATGATCAATTCCAAACGGTTGAGGAAATTATTAAAGGGTTAAATTCATTTGAAGCATTGCTGAACGTTATTAGACGGCCCAATCGGGTCTGTATTTTCGGAATACTTTGAATATATTATGCTGATTTACATAATCATATAAAAATGTTAAAAATGTAAGGGTCAAAATGCTTACTCAAAAAACGTATTGTATCACTTTTGTCCATGGAAAGTACTGCAAAGTCAATTATTATCGTTTTTTTTTAAGTAAAGTGACAAAATACATTTTCTCAAATGTGTTTTAAATGTTATTATTGCTTTTTTAAAACAGGACACGTCTCACATCCGCGGAAAAATCACGCCAAAAACACCTAATTTGCCATTTATTCTTCCCTCCATTGAAACTAATGGTCGACTTGGCTTGAACATTGAATTACGCATAAACATGTATAAATTATATTTTTATTTATTTTATTTGCGTATGTATTTATGCACTGTGTTCTTCAGCACTTTTTTGTTCCCCATAACTTTTTCACAGCGCTGTCGGATTCTGCCAAAGCGCTCCTCGATGTCGCCAGCGCAGAGCAATAAGTTAATTCATCCATAATCTCCCCTTGAGAGAAATCTTTTCAGAGTTCCTCACCGCGGCAAAGCTTTTCTAATATTTGGGATCTTTCTGACCCACCTCCAGGCCTTTCCCGTTTTAAGTCCGCACTTTGAAAAGATTAAGATATTTAGAGATTATGTGATTCATCTTTTTTGCCGGCACATCAAAAACCACCTCGCCGCTAAAACCGTCACGCGGCAACGTCAACAAAACACTGCTTTAGTTTAGAAAGAAAGCGCAGCGTCCAGAGCTCTCTCTCCTGAAGCTTCAGTCTCTCTCTCCTGAGGCGTTGGTCTGTCTCTCCTGAAGCGTTGGTCTCTCTCTCCTGAAGCGTTGTTGGTCTCTCTCTCCTGAAGCGTTGGTCTGTCTCCTGAAGCGTTGGTCTGTCTCTCCTGAAGCGTTGTTGGTCTCTCTCTCCTGAAGCGTTGGTCTCTCTCTCCTGAAGCGTTGTTGGTCTCTCTCTCCTGAAGCGTTGGTCTCTCTCTCCTGAAGCGTTGTGCTGTCTCTCCTGAAGCGTTGGTCTCTCTCTCCTGAGGCGTTGGTCTGTCTCTCCTGAAGCGTTGGTCTCTCTCTCCTGAGGCGTTGGTCTGTCTCTCCTGAAGCGTTGGTCTCTCTCTCCTGAAGCGTTGAAGCGTTGGTCTCTCTCTCCTGAAGCGTTGGTCTGTCTCTCCTGAAGCGTTGGTCTGTCTCTCCTGAAGCGTTGTTGGTCTGTCTCTCCTGAAGCGTTGTTGGTCTGTCTCTCCTGAAGCGTTGGTCTGTCTCTCCTGAAGCGTTGGTCTCTCTCTCTCCTGAAGCGTTGGTCTCTTTCTCCTGAAGCGTTGGTCTCTCTCTCCTGAAGCGTTGGTCTCTCTCTCCTGAAGCGTTGTTGGTCTGTCTCTCCTGAAGCGTTGGTCCCTCTCTCCTGAAGCGTTGGTCTCTCTCTCCCAAAGCGTTGGTCTCTCTCCCCTGAAGCGTTGGTCTCTCTCTCCTGAAGCGTTGGTCTGTCTCTCCTGAAGCGTTGGTCTCTCTCTCCTGAAGCGTTGTTGGTCTGTCTCTCCTGAAGCGTTGTTGGTCTGTCTCTCCTGAAGCGTTGGTCTCTCTCTCCTGAAGCGTTGTTGGTCTGTCTCTCCTGAAGCGTTGGTCTCTCTCTCCTGAAGCGTTGTTGGTCTGTCTCTCCTGAAGCGTTGTTGGTCTGTCTCTCCTGAAGTTTTGGTCTCTCTCTCCTGAAGCGTTGTTGGTCTGTCTCTCCTGAAGCGTTGTTGGTCTGTCTCTCCTGAAGCGTTGGTCTGTCTCTCCTGAAGCGTTGGTCTCTCTCTCTCCTGAAGCGTTGGTCTCTTTCTCCTGAAGCGTTGGTCTCTCTCTCCTGAAGCGTTGGTCTCTCTCTCCTGAAGCGTTGTTGGTCTGTCTCTCCTGAAGCGTTGGTCCCTCTCTCCTGAAGCGTTGGTCTCTCTCTCCTAAAGCGTTGGTCTCTCTCCCCTGAAGCGTTGGTCTCTCTCTCCTTAAGCGTTGTTGGTCTGTCTCTCCTGAAGCGTTGGTCTGTCTCTCCTGAAGCGTTGGTCTCTCTCTCCTGAAGCGTTGTTGGTCTGTCTCTCCTGAAGCGTTGTTGGTCTGTCTCTCCTGAAGCGTTGGTCTCTCTCTCCTGAAGCGTTGTTGGTCTGTCTCTCCTGAAGCGTTGGTCTGTCTCTCCTGAAGCGTTGTTGGTCTGTCTCTCCTGAAGCGTTGGTCTCTCTCTCCTGAAGCGTTGTTGGTCTGTCTCTCCTGAAGCGTTGGTCTGTCTCTCCTGAAGCGTTGTTGGTCTGTCTCTCCTGAAGCGTTGTTGGTCTGTCTCTCCTGAAGTTTTGGTCTCTCTCTCCTGAAGCGTTGTTGGTCTGTCTCTCCTGAAGCGTTGTTGGTCTGTCTCTCCTGAAGTGTTGGTCTCTCTCTCCTGAAGCGTTGTTGGTCTGTCTCTCCTGAAGCGTTGGTCTGTCTCTCCTGAAGCGTTGTTGGTCCGTCTCTCCTGAAGCGTTGGTCTCTCTCTCCACGAGCTCCACCTGAATCTTAAGCAAGTTTTTGAGACTGAATTTATGACTAAACATCATTTTAGTCATCATTTTTAGAAAACGACCTCGCACCGATGTACATTTGTGACATGTTAGTGCCATGTGAACCAACTCTGACTCTGGGGAGCACAGGGACTGGCCTCCTGCTGGGACCCTGAGCAACACAGGGACTGGCCTCCTGCTGGGACTCTGAGGAGCACAGGGACTGGCCTCCTGCTGATCCCCAGAGTCGGTACTAAACATGGGGAGGCAGCGTTTCAGATTTATGCAGCTAAAATGTGGAGCATTCTTCCTAAAGGTGTGAGGCAGGAATCTTCTCAAATCTTTGGGTTTCAAATAAAAAAAAAAATCACTTTTTGCAGTGAGGAAGCCTACATTTTGCATTTTTCTTTCCTCAATGTGAATGAGATCGATAAGTTAGTCACACTCTCAGATAAGTTTACATTTCTTACCTTTAGTGATTTCAATTTGACTTCTGTGTGGCTTAAACCGTTGTATTGAAAGTGACATATGACCATACCTGCATGAGAAAGCCAGATCCCGTCAGACCTCTGAAGCTGTGCAGGGCAGCGACTGGTTAGTACGGTGATGGGAGACATCTGGGAACACCAGCCACAGTGGGGCAGCTGCGGCTGTAAAGTGCCGAACTGCCGTTGTGTCCTTAAGTAAGACACTTTACCCTCATTGCCTAGAATGAGTCTGATGTGTGTGTGAATGGTTGGTGGTGGTCGGAGGGGCCGATGGCACAGACTGGTTGCCAGGGCAGCTGTGGCTACAGTAGTAGTTTATCACCACTGTGTATGGAGTGTATGAATAATGACATGTGAAGACTCTTTGAGTGTCCAGAAAAAGCGCTATATAAAACCGATGCATTATTATTATTACATATTCAGTAATATTGGAATTGCCAGGACTAGCGTGTACATGCAGGATACATGAGATCATTCAAGAGGGGGCAGGATACAATATGTTTTAATCTTCCTTCTCCTCCTTTTGATCATCAGGTACTTGTGTTACTTTTGTATTTGACAATCTCAATGCCGTACATGTGTTCGAACATCTGCTCAAGAATACACACTTGTCTTTTCTGTTATTTATGAACAGTTAGACCAAATTACTCCACTGTGACCATGAGAAAAAGCAGATATGATTGGTTGGTAGTCGCCGGGCGCTCGTCGCCTCGGAGATGAATACGACGCAGGAATAAGACGGTTCAAATATGTGCTCCAAGTCAATAATCAGCCGCAGCACAGAGTGAAAATCTATCTACATCGATCCACGTCTATCTACAAACCCACCCTCCGCCGCAAACTGGGCAAGACCATTTCAAGTGCGGCCACCAGGGGACAATCGCACCCAATCGATAATCCTTAAGTGAAAATATCGGCCAA